GTAACAATAGTCTGGAATGTGTATAGGGATTGGCCATGTTGGGGGGGTTACCCCTCGGTCTCATTTCTTGCTGGGTATAGGCAACTTAGCAGGCCAATGTGTTAGTTGCACATCTTCACGTCTGACCCAAAGATGTAATGCTTGTACTGCACGCGTCTACAGGCAGATCAGAGATGTGAAAAGGGGTTAAGGAATCATCGGTTCTTGCATTTAGAATTACATTCATATTCAACTTCAGCTTTTCTGCAATATAACTAAGGGGAGTAGCATGGGACGACTGCCCCCCCCCCGCCATTCATGCTCTTCTCACCTGGAAATTGGATGAGAGACTACAAACCTCCCTTCAGAAATCAAGCCCCGCCTCTGATTATGCCACAACAGCTTGTGATAGTAATTTGAACTAGTAAGGGATAGCAAACACAAGCATCATGCACAGTTTCAGTACTACTCTAAAAAATACACAAAGTGTCACCTCAGAAAAGCTGTTTTTAAGGGCTTTAGCTCCAAATACCTGCTTTGTATCCAAAATGAGATCTTCCTTTCATTTTTGTGATCTGCTATGAGAAAACATGGCTGACCAGTTTGGTGATTTGAAAGAGAACTTGGCCATGAAAATTCAGTAACAGCAAAGAAATGTAAACCAAAAGTGCTAGACAAGAAGTTATGTCCAACACCTCAATTTTTAAACAGATTTAAAAATATGATTAAACAAAAGGATATGGAGTTAGCTGTTTGTAAGCACCCTATGAGCTGTTCCATTGGTGGATTCTCCCTGAGAACTCTGATGCAGCCAATCAGGATCAGCTTGAGTTTGGCTCTTGTAAGAGCGACGTTCAAACGACGAATGTCTTGCAGCAGAAAACCGCTCTGAGAAGAAAAAAAAAATTGGAAAAAACGCGTTAAAGTTACTGGTGAGTTTGTGCTGGAGAACTTGTAAACACGATCAGGCAATCTGCCAACACAGAACAGCAGGTGGGTTGCACTGCCAAGTATGTCTTGAGTCAGTGTTGGTGGACGTACGCTTATACGCTTATTTTCAATATTTTTGGGACATACCCTTTAAGCCCAAGAAGTCTGTGGAGGTGGACCGTGTGTTGATTTTGATTGCTGTACGCGGAAACGACCTGTTTCAGCAAATACCGCTCCGTGGCAGTGCCTCGAAGGGTTGCAAAATATGAGGTTGAAGCAAGAAATGATACAAAAATATCGTTCAGTTAACCCTAATGGGTCAGCATTTGTGGCTTTTGGACCTACATCAAAAGATGGCCACTGCATCTTGCCTTTTTTGAAAATCAAAATTTTTGATCACAATAATATCATAAGCAAAGGGGTTTAATTCCGTCATGGCATTTGAGCTTACCACCAGTCTGCTTTTCAAGAAAACAGTTTGTGAAAAAAATTCAGTCACTTTCTAGACACGTCGGGGATGGCGCCCTCTAACTGCAATTTATACAGGTTGGAAATCAATTCAGCAATGGTTCAGTTTGAGGGCTGCCAATGACCACACATGAAACAGAAATTCACTAGCACACAGACGGAAATATGCCTGTCTGTTAATGAGCAAACCCACTCCCTTAGCAAATTTGCTACAAATGTTTCATTAGCCTAAGAGGATGGATCGGTGAAGCATCGTATTAGCTATGAAACTGTTCCTCTCTAAACACCAGGGCTTTTTGAAAGCAGGGCACGGAAAAAGGAAAAAGTGTTTTAAGTGAGAGAATGTTAATTTGTTGGTCAAAGTGAGAATCTCTCCAAATGCATTTTGGGCCACTAAATTGCCTACAAAGTGATCTGTGTCATTTGTTGGTGTGTATGATTTGTACTATTTTCATTGGGGAATTTTATGCGAATAAAGAACCTGAACAGAACTGTTATTAGGCAAAACGGGGAAAAAAGAGACTTAGGCTACATCCAAATCTGTTGGCTAAAGCTACATGTGGGTCAAGGTCTTCACTCCATTGGAGATATGCAGACAATTGACCTAGCCGTAGCTCTGGAAGCCCGCTTCGAACACAGCCGTAGTTGGTCTCACCTCCGATTGTTGGTCCTTGACGGTGAAAGACACGATGATGACCTCTTTGTCTCTTCCCTGGTACTTGTCCACGGTGTTCACTTCAATGCCGTCATCCAGCATGGTTCCCAGCAGTTTGCACTGGTTACGATAAGGAGATATGACGCCGATGTTTCCAGCTGTGCAGCCACTCTGAAAATAGGTCAATGTATTGGCAATACCGGTAAAAGATCTTTCAACAACTGACTACAAATGATCTATTCAGATCAATGTCCACTATTCCTGTAAATTTTCAAGTGATAACATCTTTCAAAGCTCATGATTTCTCATTTTATACAAATTTACTTGTTACAATGAAAACACTGTGATAAAAATTACTTAGGTTGAATGCCAAGAAACCTGAAGTCTTATCAAAGAATAGAATAAAAATAGACTGTTCAAACCAATTTCTATAGGGCCAGCAAAAACTTTGCATTTGTTTCCAACTACATGGTAAAGAGATTAATCCTGTTGAGTACCTTCATGAGACAAAAGACAAGATACTTCACCAGCATGGCCTCTGCTGAGTTGACTGTGTGCTTCTCACCCAAAGACTCTGGGGACTTGACCTGCTTTTTAAAACATGAAAATCACAAAATGGCTGTCTTCCCTTGTCTACAAAACAACCATAAAATAGACTCTCAAAGTCTTTAATACATCTGGTTGTGAATGACATCAATTTCATTTTGTTTTTCTGTTTACTGGTCATGATTATTTTGTTGAATATGCACACTGAATTTTATTGCAATTTATTTCAAAATGTATGATTCTTGGAAGGACACAGTTTTTGTATAAAATTTATCTCACTTTCAAGGGTAAATAGTGATTTAGTTCCTTAATAACAAAAAAACGACCAAGCAATCAAACACTAACAGAGAACAGTAAATTCAATCATCAAATTTTCACTCTCACCATCTGTATATACATGTATTTAATTGCAAGCAGCAAAGATAATCTTTAATCCATTTATGTGCAACAGAGTAGTGTGTACACAAGGAAAATATGCAGCTGAAAAACCCTACAAGAGATTGGGCTTAGAATTATGAATGATGCAACCAGAAAAGTGGAACATTTAGAGGAACAGCTTGAGTTCTGTTGAAACTCAGAGCCAGGGTTCCCCCAGGGTGCTGGAGGGCATGAGGTGGCCAAAACTGTTGACAAAATCTGCAGTGCGGTGGTAATGGTGATGACAATGCCAATAGGCTCTCTCACGGAACATCTAAAAATGTCCTCTGAAACCATTTCATCTTAAATAAACTAATCTTGCATTCTGTGCCTCTCTTCACCAGTCAAAGCAAATAGAAGGTTACACATCATGGCAAAAATGCTCAGATTTCTGTTCTTAGGTGTTTTCTTTGATTTTTACTGTCTTGTGACAACACATTGGTCAAAAGGACTGAGATGGTCACTGAAATGTGTGTGCCCGACTGCCCAATGGTTGGAAACACGGCAAAAGAATCCTGCTAGAGGAAATGGCAAATTTGTGCTGTCACAACAAATTTTCGTCCTGTGAAATCACAAACGTTAAAAAGGCATTTCAATCTGGACAACACAACTCACAAGATCATGACCACAATGCCTCAAAACATTTTGGAAAGTTTTCAAGTTTAGGGTAGATGTGAAGAATTTCGATTGCACGTGTAGGAAATGCAGTATTTTGAGAGCTGCATTTCTGAGTTTACTTTTACAAATGACTCAAATGACTTATAAATAATAATCTCAGATTCTTCCTGATCTGGTGCAAAATTCACAAAAGACTAAACTTGTTCAACAGAGAGTATAAGTCCAATGATGAAACATGAACAACATTTTTTCTTTCTTCAATGTCTTTCATGTTGATATACGCGTAAATCACCATCTTTTTCATTTGTATCTTTGGGAAGCAATTAACATTTCAACTCTCATGCATAGCTATTATGAAAAAATTGCAAAATGATTAAATGAATAATGTAAGATTTATTATGTTATTAGTCTTAAGCTTTCATAATCTAGACAGTCCTGTGAGGGAACCTTTCATAATTACAGAAGGCGGTATTTACTGCGGTACCGCTGTATTTTTGCGGTACCAGCATTGAGCCCTTCCAGGTAACTAGTGCGGTGCCGCTAAAAAAAACCAGCGGTACCGCAGTAAATACCGCCTTCAACAATTATGAAACGCTCCCTAATGCACACTTGGCTTTTCCTCTCCAAACTCCAAGCTATTTTCCATGTCCATCTCTTCCCTGTCTATCCATGTCCTTCAAATTACTCACAGAGTAGAAGTGCAAACATAATACAATGTAAGTGTACATTCAGAGTGGGTTTTCTCTGGTAGCACAAGAGTTAAAATGGCTCCTTTCCACTAAAACCATTTCAGTTTGATTATTTTGGCCCTCAAGTTTTAGTTCATGTTGGTTTTCTCATCCTGCAATTTAATGCTAGATCCAATCCAGTTTTAAGCATTTTATTACGTGAGAGTGAAGATGCTGTTCTTTAACGACTATAATGTACGATTGTACTGTGGCAGCTCTTCAGGTCAACAAGCTTGGGTCCCTTGGGACAGATGACAGAGTGTAGAATATAGATTTACAATGTACATGGCTCTACCCGGTATGACACTTGTGCTGAGACGAGGAGTCGATGTTCACTCATATTCATAGTAAGCACAGTCTTCCACTGGCATAAAGAATTTCTTGGTGTCTACCTGGGATGCAGTGACGTTGTTGAGTTGACACAAGTCTCCTGACAAATTGAAGGAGTTGCAGAGGGGATCTGAAATGCATGCCAAGCAACACTGCACAGGACTTGCGATGACAGTCTCCTTGAAGGCATGGCCAAGCAAACAGTAGGGCGGGATGTGACGACCAAAGTCCAAAGGGGACATGGTGCGGCAATGCAGAGGCGTACGGCACCTGTTGCGTTCGCACATGAAGGGCTTGTTGTCTGTACAATTGTACAAGTCCCAGACTCCAATGCGGTACTTCAGCACCAAACAACCAGGATGGGTCAGTTTGTTCCATGGATTCAGGCCAGTATAGTTGCCCTGGTCTCGTCCGTAGCATTCCACCCGGCCTTTGCCCGTCCTGTCGTAAGTACAACCCAGCCATATGTAGCGGTCAGGATTGCTCCTTATGATGGCTTTGTTTAGGACTTGCCAGATGAAGTCGTTCTCGCCCTGGGAGTTGGGCACGGCTAAGTCTCCATTCTGCTGTTGGCAGACTGCCCGTGCCCGGTCCCAGTCATACAGGCTATTGGCATACATAAAGTAGCATGACTGGTTGTAACGCAACCAGTCTTGTGGACAGCCATTACTGCGTGTTTCCAGACTGGAAACAGCAGCAGCAAACATTATGAATAGTACACTAATTGTAGGCAAATGAAAACAAACAGGCATGGTTATCCAAGTACGATGACAACAGCTAGCATCCAATTTAAAGCTCTTTTTCTTAATTCTGAAGCTAAGCTTCTCCACTGAAAAAGCAGCTAGGCTCAGTCAGGCAGATTAGTTTCCCAAGGTCCATGAACATAAATGTGCAACTGCTAAAGCCAAGTTTTTACCTCCGTTCCGCTGCCAAAGCAGAGACCGCTGCTTCAGAGCAACTAATCGCTACCTGTCATTCTCTCCTCCGTTTTTCTTTCTTAAGTCTGTTGCTACCACCCACTTACACAAGTACATCTATTTGTGCATGTCGGTGCCTGGTATGTGCACTGCATAAAAACTGAAGGCCAGCTTCTATCTCTGGAAATCGTGAATTTTAAATGATGATCCTTTGGTGGCACAACTTGCTAATGGCTTGTTGCTCTCATTTCCTTGATATCTTGAAATGAGGAGGGGAAAGTCTCAAGCTTTTATTGGACAAAACGTCACGGTGGATGGTTCCAATTCATTAATCATCCACAAGAAGCACTTACAAATGAGTCAGTTTGGGTCAAATCTAACCAGTGAAATCAGCCATCTGGAACTGTGTCCATCAAATTATCACCTACTCGAATAGCTGACATCCACAGGCTGTACTTAGATAAAGCCAACTTTCCCAAAGGGGCTTGATACATCTGGGTTGGTGCACACCTCCCTTTTGCATGCATCCTAGAAAGGGACTGTTCTAGATTCAGTTCCTTGCCTTGCCCACCTTACCAGCAGCAGTACAGCCAAAACTCGGCCAAAGTAATGCATTGTGCATGCTCTATACATTAGCAACATTACACTCCACTGAGCAAATTGCTCTGAAGACACACGGCTGACAGGTGAACCATTGAAGTACAAAGAAAAAGTAGCAAATATTTCACCACGAGTAAGCCTTCATATTTTAAAAATTAATGTGACGAAAACACAAGACTTGGTATGTTTGGTGTGTTTAAATAACTTCAACTAAATTACCTTGATGGCAAGTGTTAAGAACACAGGGATCGGAACCTTACAAAAATGAAGACTGCGCCCATCAAACTTGATTATTTTTTTGGGCTGCATTCTTTCAAATTTATCGTCTCCCAGTACTGATGAACAGCAGCGGTGGAACCATTTCCAAAGGGGGGGGGGATGACCATGAGACCATCAGGCATCAACTATTAATAGACC